CAGAACACAGCGGTCACTTGATGTCGCCACGCTAGAAACGCAACTCTGGTAATTCTCGCACGCTTGATTGTTAGAGCCGTACTTTTAAGTTAACAAAGTGCGTGCGAATATGCATAAACTTTCATTTTCGACATGCGTCGAGATGAGCCCCTGCGAATTTGACTTTCACCCTTCTGTTCTACCACCATGATTTCCAACAAAGGTTAGTCATACCGACCGAGCCCGTACAAGTGTTATCGGCGCTTCTGGGTTTCAGAATACACGATTATGACGAGTAAAAATGACAATACAGCACAACTGCGGCATAATTTACCCTAAATGAAGCCTTTCTTATTGTGTACGATGTCCGCGCAAGAAGCGACAAACATCGATGCGACGCGCTCGCAGCACTTCCACCAAATGTACGCCTCCCCTCACCGACAGCCGCCGGTCGCACACGCCGGCGCTTCGCTGGCTCTTATGCGAGAACATAGACACGTCAATTTGTATGCTTACTGAACCAATATGATAGCATAATGTTTCTGGCACACTGCATTCGTTTTTGGACTAGCCGTTATGTAGCTGTTTTTAGCGACAGAGCAACAGCGGTGCGCTGGCACGACTGCAGTGTGTGTTGCGCAAACAACATCAAAATCAATTGTGTGGGCGTATCTATCGATTGAGCATAGAAGCGTCATAAAGCCTGAACTGATATAGCCCTTTGTAAGGAGCCAGAAACTGATAATAAAGTTGGCAGTAACCGCCGATAAACTCTACCTGCTCCTCAGTCCACTGAGTTGTTTTTTTTTTTTGTCCTTGCGGTTGTAAATTGTAACAAAAACATAGCGCTGTTGCCATTATCGCAGTGGCAATCGTTACAGGCAGCAGTTTTTCTTGTTTATCAAATGTACAAATTTTAGTAGCAGGTGCAGATCCCGTCACTCCCTATTAAACTAAAAAACACTGAAGTCATAGAGTGACTGAACACAGTCACTCTATGACTTTAGTACTTCTTTAACACCCGTACCGCCATCTATCGGCGTGGCGCAGTAGTCAGTGTACTCAGTTCATAACTCGCAGGGGCTAGGTTCGATCCCATGCCGGCGCACCTTTTTCTTTACGGGTGCTTGATACATTCTTTTTTATACAATTATTTTTATTATTTATTTAGCGGAAGCCCGTCATGGTGGCTCTGACGCTGTTTTGCGCTCTAGCATTGCTGGCTGGAGCGCGCCATCCGCCATCCGCTCTACCATACGCCAACATACACCATCTGCCACCATTTCCACCGCCATAATCCACCAAAATTGTTGATTGTGGACGTTTTTTCAATAGGGTGGCGGCTTACCAGAAGAAACAGGTACAACCCGAGTAAACGAACATATCCCAACGTTTCTAAAATCATTGTGTGTGAGTCAGTACATTTTCATTCATTTTCCGAATATGTGAAGTTTTGGACTTATGACAGCCAGATTCATGTATAGTCTCCTGTTGAAGAAAACGCAACTGATGATTTGCGAAAAATTAAACGCCCACTGTCGTGCAAACAGGAAATCTTCACTCGTGCTTTCGTGTTCGAAACCTCTTCGCCAACCAACATGTTCAAGGCAGTGTATATCTGTTCACGTGGCCTGGTTTTGTGGCTTTTGTGCCCGAAACGCATTCACTATATTGAAAAAGAACTTAGTTGAGGAGGAAAACATACCGTTTACGTTCGTATAAACTGTAGGGAACGAGGATTTCTTGCGTTTCAGTCTGAGCAACAACCAAATGAGGTCATATACCTGCACTTCGCTACTTCAACTTTTTACCAGCCCGAACGCACGTGGTCTTTCAAGGAAGAACGCTAGGTTATACTTGAAACTCGACACTTGAAACATCCGAAAATGAATTAGGTTGAGTAAGCGTGGCTTGGGCCTCGTCTGTGAGGTCCGTTGTTTACGGGAAAATAGCAGGGTTCGTGGTTACTACGCGCCACATCGTTGAAACACACTATGATGGTGTTGTCAGGAGAGATATTTTTATATACAGGTGAGGCGTACTATGAGTATTTCCAGTTAAGATTACCAAAATGTCAAAAGACGATGTAAATTAATATACGTCAAAACGCTCGCCAGTATAAAGGCTGGTGCACACCGGCGACTAGCAGCGGTCACGCGACCGTTCGCGACTAGCGACCAAAATGCGACTGATGGTCACACTGGCAGAGGTTGCATGCGAGCGACCGGAAGTCGCAAAACCGGAGAATCATGTCCGGATTTAGCTATCAGCGAGAACTTTGGAGATCAGCGGCTATCAGCCGATTGTCACCAGCTGATTGAGCAGAGTGAACCGAGTGCGCCGCATTTATTGTTTTCGTCCATTCTCGCACAGCGTTCCCAACAGCGTCAAGTTCCATTCAAACGAAGAAAAAGACATTGTCTTGTTGCTGGTACGCTGTGCCATGGTGTCAGCGCTGGCATCACAGATGCTTCCAAAGAAAAAAAGCCGGTAGTGGGTGTGACCGTCCTTTCGATCGCGGGAGTTAGCCGGCCATGCAAGCCGCCTGCCTGCCTCCGAAGCTGCGCTGAGACGACGAGGAGTAATTCCGAGAGTCGTACGTATTCAGAAACGGTCCTTAAATTTGACTTGACTTGCCACAGCCTAAAATGAAGCACAGACGCGTCTCGAACGCGGTGTCATAAGTCGTTGCCAAGGCATGAAGCACAAACGCGTTTCAAATGCGCTGCAATAAAGGCGGTGACAAGTCAAGTTCAAGACAAAAAAATTGTATGAATACGGGGAAAAGATAGTGCACATTTCATTTTCTTATTCCTTTGATGGTGTTTAGCTTCTTGCGAATGTCCCCACGTAAATTCGACACTTTGCTCGAGTTGCTGCGCCCCGCCATCTCCAAGCCAAGTATTCCGTGGTGGCCGTGGTGCCACAAACCCAGAGGAACGTACTCGTTTGTATCTGGTGGCAGGAAGCCAGCGCAATGCAAAAAACAAAAAAATTGAGCATCGCTGATTGGTTCCAGGAGCTTTGCAACTGAAGTCGCGCGACTGAAATAATGGTCAGGAAGCGACCAGGAAAATGATCAGGAAGCACTCGCTTTGCGACCATTTGCGACCATTGGCGACTGTTAGCGACCAGTCGCAAATGGTCGCGCGACCGCTGCTAGTCGCCGGTGTGCACCAGCCTTTACAGTATTACTCGGGGAATGCACTTTCCGAATGAGAACATCACGCTAACATCCTAACTTCATTTGTGACACTTCGGCACACTATTTCGCCATCCCGGAGTTTATGGCTAGTTTTAATCACGTTAGCACCACTTACCACAGTTTCCTATAGTATCCATTTTTTGGTGTAACAACGAAAGCATCAATTATAACTGCAAATCTACCGTTTCGACGAGAGTCTGCTTATCTTACACAACAAATCAATCAAGCAAACCTCGAGGTGGTTAAAGGTGGGAAGTAGACCTGAAGCGCAAGCCGTAAGAAAGTGTGCGTGTGCCACCTCTCGTTTAGTCCTTGGAATGTCCGCTGGATGGCGGTGCTTCTTTATAGGGAATATATGATTAAAAGATGCGAGATGGTGGTACTTGGAGTGTTGAATAGATGGACGAACGGACACACAGACAGATGGATAGATGGACGCATGAACGGACGCAGGGGCGGATGCATGGACGAACGCATGGACGGATGCACGAACAGACGCACGCACGGACGGGCGGGTGGACGCATGGACGGTCACACAGACGGACGCATGCACGGATGGAAGCAAGAACAATTGAACGGACGGATGCTCCGCCCATTCACTCCATCATTCACTGCGTGGATATGCTGCCAATTTTTTTCTCGCGTTTGAGCTACTCAGAGACACAACAGCCTCGCGGCGCCACACCACTGAAGAAACTGCCTGTCACACATGCGCACACCAGAAAATCGTACTCCTGCACGGGAAACGAAACCAGCTACCACACGCACACGAGCACACACAAAAAGAAGCAAGAGAAAGCACACGGAGACGCTGAAATCCTCACGCAACCACATTGAAAAACAAAGTATCGTCTGCTTTGATTGGTGAAGTGTCAGGGCCCTGAAAAAATTCATGGAATATCCACGGAGTGAATGATGATGAGTGGGGCAAAGCGTCCGTCCATGCGTCTATCTATACATCCGTCCGTCTGTCCATGCGTCTGTTCCTCTGTGCGTCTTTTTGTCCATCTGTCCATCCGTGCGTCTCTCTGTCCATCTAGATCACCGTCTCTCTATCCATCCATATAGTGAAAATTTCAAGTACAACCATCTTGCATATTTTATTCATATATCATAACATACAAGTACTGCCATCCAGTGGAAATTCCAAGGGCTAATCCAGAGGTGGCTACCTACTACTACTACTACTACTAATATAACATATATCGGGAATGCACGTTCACGGTCAAAGGAACTTCGCCCCTAAAAAGCGGCTGCAACTGTCAAATAATCAGAGAAGCACTCGCCATTGCCGGCGACGTGACGCAACAGCCCGCACCTCTTTTTTATCCAGCGGCCGTGGTCGAGCATTTCCCCCGACCAAGCGGCCGGGATTCTATCGCGCGTCGAACACGATAGCCCAAGTGCTGAGGAAGCATCGCGCACTGGCATGACCTTGTTGCACCGGTTTCTTTGCAGTCGTGCATTACGTTGTTTTATTTTGCGCTGTGCGAAACTACCATTTCCGCCTCCTATGTGATGGGTAGTCATGAGCTTCTTCTCGGAGATCTTTGCGAATGTTTTAAGAAAGACAGACATAACCGCGGCGAAATGATAGGCGGATCGCTGGTATTTGTATAACAATAAACAAGTAGGTTTTATACTACAATACCCGATCGCCCTGGTAGAGGCCTCGAAAATTTCATCAGCGTGGATTTATTTATTGGGCATCAATATCTAACACGTAAATTCTATTAAAGGCATATAAATTTTAAACCAGCAAATAGTATTTAGGTTACCAAAGCAACAAGAACGATGGAAGCCAACGCCCACTTACACTGCTTCTTCGTCGGCGACAATTCAATCCTAAGTGTTCGCTCTTGTTCTTCTTGTTTGGCAGGTTTGCTGGCCGGCTTGTTGACCTGTTTGTTTTTCTGATACTGAAGTTTGTGTTGTGGCGGCTGTTGTTGCTGCTGCTGGGACAACAGCTGTTGCGATCCGGCGTTGCTAGAAGCTTTCGAGGTCGCCACCGACTGAGATTTCCGTACTGGAGATGACCTGCGAATATTGGATTGTGTAAAGAGTGTACTCTTGCCTCACCCCGAGTGCAAGCGACTCAAATGACCTAACGTTACAGCTAGCACATTGCTGCTGCGATATAGGCAACTACGAAGAGAGGACGTGCGAAGGCAGCGTGGCGGTCGCCAAATACATTTCTGATTGTTGCCATAGCTTATCGGCTGCATAATGACATGTTATTGCAACCCCGTGGACACCGAGGCACCAGAAAAACCCGTTTTCCACAACTATCAGCTATACAACGTAAAAACACACTCGATAAGGCTGTCCCATTGGAAACAAATAAGCAGCATCCGAAGACACATAACAGGATAGCAATTTCATTTGTTAAAATAGTGTTGCGAATACTTGCAGTAAAAGAAAACCCAAACATTTGTTATGAATGTTGTATTCCTTACCATTAACAACGCTTGTTTTCTTGAACTGTGTACCTCAGAAAAAATACACAATCTCATTATGACATTCTGAAAAGGCCTTCCTGGTTTGTTCTTTATTCGCGAACTAATCATGGTTTGAGAAGACTTCAACACTGTATTCCTGCTTGTTTTAACATGTCTGAAAATAAAAACATCGACATCTTTATTATACATAAAAAAAACTTAAGAACCTTCTTATCCAGAATGGCGGCATGTAGTTTAGTTTTTTCTAATTGTCCGGCTAACATACTATATGTAAAACACCTTATAATAGTGCTCGTGTGTAACATGGCATCCTATGTTGTTTGCTCTTTTTGACATTTTTTTCGTTGTTTTTTTCACGAGTAAAAACATGCAACATTTCACTCGTCAGTGTTTTCCTTGTGCATCAAAACTTGTGCTTTTCGCATAGCCAGTGTTGTAAACGCCGTATAATCATTTTGTAATACTTTGGTATCCGTTTAGCAACGTATGCATTGTTCCATGATTGATCATAAGCATTTTTTCTTTTTTTATTTGTTGTTTTTCTCTCTTTGTGGTTTGCTTATTTTATGTTAACCTAAAACCGATGTAATTTTGATGAATTTTCTTTTTATTTCCTAATTTGTTGAAGTTTTGAAAATCGACGTCAAATTGTTTTTTAATGTTTGTGCTCTGCGGATTTTGTAATGTGAAGCGAAAAGGGGTAGGAGCCTCATCAAGCTACTAATATAGCACCTTTTTGCTCTTATCCTTGCGTTTTCTTTTTCGCGACTCTGTGAAGAAAATGCTCAGTAAAACTGAACCTGAAACTGAAACTAATAGACTTATCTTATTTCAGATAGGCAATATCTACTTCAGGTGGCTAGAGTTAGAAGGGGGTGGGTGAAGCCATTCTTCTCCTGCCAAGTTAATTGGATAAAGTTTCTGACCCCGAAATGTCGCTCATTCAAAGCAAATCTGCAGCAGCCTCTCAGACAGGTGAATATTAAAATCCGCAGATGGAAGTCGACGGGTACTTCTAGCGTGGCTGCGACTCGGCAAGGCCACGGTGCGCGATCATCTTTGCGTGGCGGGAATTCCCATTCTACGGCAGCGAGAGGAAGCGTGTCCGAAAGCTATACTCTATTTCAGAAGTTCCCTTCAGCACTGTGGAGACTACAGACCGCTCCGCGAACATGAAGGGTGATTAGCACCTCCACACGCATCCATCCAGGCCATGTCGACTGCTAACCGCATTCTCTATGCGTGCTCGTTGAGGATAATATGGCGTGTATATTAACCTAAAAATGCAGTAACACTGAGAAACAAGCAATCACACTAAGAAATCGAAGCATGGATTTGTTGCTCTGCTGAAGGTTTGTTGGCGCTCATGCCAGTGGTTAACCTCACTTTGTGGTGGTTTCTCTCCGACGCTGTTTTTAAATGCGAAGCAATTCTTACCGAACATCGGTGAGTTCACGCATATCTATCTATCTATCTATCTATCTATCTATCTATCTATCTATCTATCTATCTATCTATCTATCTATCTATCTATCTATCTATCTATCTATCTATCTATCTATCTATCTATTATCTATCTATCTATCTATCTATCTATCTATCTATCTATCTATCTATCTATCTATCTATCTGTCTATCTATCTATCTATCTATCTATCTATCTATCTATCTATCTATCTATCTATCTATCTATCTATCTATCTATCTGTCTGTCTGTCTGTCTGTCTGTCTGTCTGTCTATCTATCTATCTATCTATCTATCTATCTATCTATCTATCTATATATATATATATATATATATATATATATATATATATATATATATATATATATATATATATATATATATATATATATATATATATATATATATATATCTAGCCGCCTATGACTTTTAGCTCTCGTGGCCGTCTCGCTATAGGTTTCGATACCAAACTTATGACTGTATGACTGTATGACTGTATATTATGACTGTATGAAGAACATATTTGACTAGTCAAAACATAGAAATTATGACATATGTGTTGAGAATGTCATGATTTACTTTTCATGGTCCTGCATCTCTTGCGGTGGTTTCGTTCACTGAAAAACTGGTATAAAACATGAAAATCGGGACATGCGTGTCATGTAACAACTTGAGTACATGCCACGCTCATGATGCGCTCGCGGCCGTTCCGCAAGCGTCACCTATACTAAATTCGGTATTAAGATACGTGAATGGATGACGAAGCTATGTGGATGTAAAATCATAATCATGAGATACGTGTGATGTAGCAATATTACTACATGCCACGCTCGTGATGTTTCACTAGCTTCACCATTTCGCTAGCTTCACTTATACCAAATTTTGTATTATGGTATGTGAATGGATGACGAAGGTATGCTACTGGTGCAAACATGATAACTATGAGATGCGTGTCATGTAACAACATGACAACATGCTACGCTGACGATGCTCTCTTGACTGTTTCACGAGCTTCACATTTACCAAACTTGGTATTGCGCAACGCGAATGAACGAAATAGGTAAATGACACATCCAAGCCTGATAATCTCGAATGCGTGTCATGTAACAACATGACTACATGCCACTCTCATGGTGCGCTCACGGCCATTTCACCAACTTCACATGTGACAAAATTCGCATTACGTGCCGTCAATGCATCGAGAAGGTATGTGACTGGTGCAAATAAAATTAAAAATATGAGATGCGTGTCACGTGAGAACACGACTGCATGCCACAGTCAAGGAGCCAATACTTTTCGACGTGACGTGGTGCGCGTGCTCACCGGCATTCATTTCGTCACGTCAAGCCGGCGTTGCCCCGTCAGGTGATGGTCGTGCCATATGCAAGCAGGTGCGCCCCGTGCTTCGTTGCTTTGACACATGCGCGTTTCAGCGAATCCGCCGTCCCTCCGTCACGAAAAGAGGAAGACGCAGTGTTTGGGTAATGCATCGGCGCAAAATGCTGCATGTAGCATTTCCCGCTGGTTGCCATCGGGATGCGCCGACGAGCGCTAGTTGCGCCTGGCGTCAGTCTATGAAGTGCTCGTGTTTTGCTAATGTAGCGTTGCTGTGCCCAGCGTGCGCATGCGTCAACATCACATGGGTGTTTATTGGGCCCTTCATGATGCGCTCGCGGCCCTTTTGCTAGCTTTACTTTAGCTATACGAAATTTGTTGTTAATGCCGTCAATGAATGGCAAATGTACATGAATTGTGCGAACATGATAATCCTGACAAGAGCGTCATGTAAGGACATGCCAACATAACACGCTCTTACCATAGCATGCTCGCGGCCATTTCGCTAGCTCCCGATATACTAAATTTGGTATCATGTGACGTGCATAGATAAAGAGAAACGACACATCCAAACTTGCATGATAATCGTTACACGTAAGTCATGTACAGAATCTTTTACCTCAACCACGTAACAATGTGCTGATATTAAAGTGACATATCGACCTTTCTCATTCGTGCTTCGCATATTATCGATTCCCACTGTACGTGGGATCTGCAAATATTTTTGCTCTCGTAATACTGCTTTTCCGTCGAAGCGTTCTTTCGCGTCTCCCTGTGCGTTTCGCGTTTCCGCTGAGGGAGAGACAGATTAAACTTTTATTATTAACAAATCCAAAATGATCCTTCCTTAGATGGGGCCCTCAGTCCAGGGCTCCATTGCATTGCGCGACCCTGCGAGCCCGCTGGACCAGCTGCTGCTGTTCCTGTCGGCGTAAGCTGAGCAGTGCAGGCTCCCAAGAGGAAGGGGTGAGTGAGGTTGGGAACGGGAGGAACGCCCTGTGGGGCAAAGCATCCCCACGTGGAGTGGTAAACTGTCGGTATGGATCCACAGAAGGGTCAGTAGAAGGGGTAGAGAGTCTGATGAAATTGATTTAGCATATAAAGGCAAGAAAATGAATTGGTCTGTAGTGGCCACCAAGTGACAGCATCGGCTCTGTTAGGTGAAAGATGAGGGGAAGGATACGTATAACGGCTCTGTCTGTAGTACTCCAGCGTAGCGTTGTAGTTTAGTGGCTTTGTCGATCCATCGTCTGGATTGAACAGCTCTTCTGATGGTGCCCGGCTGGTCAGCTCTCGGGCAACCGCATGAACGCATTCATTACCATGGAGAGAGGCGTGTCCAGGAGTCCAGACAATACGCACAGGACGTTATGTGGGCGGTGAGACAGAAGAGAGGATATTGTGTGTATGTGCAGCCACAAGTCCTTGAGTGAAAGCACCACAACAAACTTGTGAATCTGTTGAAATTGTGACAGAGGAGTTATGTGACAGTGTCGTAGCGTGAACAACTACCAGAGCGAGAGCTCCCTCGTCTGCCAAACCACTGTCTGTAGTGCAAAGTGTGGCAGACGCCACAAGGGCGTCTCTGTCATGTAGGTTAAAAACATGGCGGATTTCTCTGGGTAGCGTGCCGCATCAGTGTAAACGAACTCACTTGCTGGATTCCGTGCCGACCGGTTGTGCCCTCACGATTTCCGACGTCGGCGTAGCTTTGGTCGACTGGGCTGGCCCTACGTCATCTCCTGACGCCGATCTCCGATGACAGCGTAGCTCTGACCTACTGGACTTCTCTTACGCCATCTCCTGACGCCGACAAGAGCTCTCGCAAGTGGTGCCCCGTCCTCGGACTCCTGCGACCGTGTTTTCATCTTTCCTATCTCTCCTATCTCTCATATGTCCTCACTCTCTGTCCCAGCGCATCTCTCTCTCTGTCT